TATACAATTGAAATGAGAAAAGCTGGACTAATGAAATATTTTATATATGGTGTGTGTATATACATGTGTATATAAGGATTCTCTGTGAGATTTTTTACCTGAGCCGGGGGAAGCTCCAGTGTTGAAATGTTGGGAAAACCACAGATGACGTCTCAGTTCATAAAGCAGGAACTTACAAATATGAGAAACTTTTTCAAGATCACTCAACCAACAAGTGCACTGCTAGGTTGGTATGACATCAATATCCACAGCGAGTACTTACCCATCTGGTGCTTAGCGGTCCTCATCATGAATGTTATGGGTTAATCTTTACTATTTTGGGAGCAAAATTGAGCTACCTTTATGCAGATATTTTTCTTTGAAATGGGTTTTATTTGCACACCTATTAAAATTCTAGCATTTAAAAACTGTCATTAATAAGCAGCAGTGATTTAAACTGTATCCCTGGGTACTTAGGAAAATAATATTTGCAAGTTACCAATAGGAGGTCAGGAAAGTTACATGGAAAGTTAAAAGGATATGCCCGGCTCCACCGTACTCGTCCCGTTCACACAACAGGGCAAAAACCACCACCACCACCACCTTTTGAAGAAAAAACAGGTAGTTCCAAAACACACTGCTGGAGCCATGAATCAACTGTGGATAGATCATTAAAAAAAATGAGTAAAATAATAATTAACCACAAGGGGGCATACATACTCTTAGAGTCCAGCAGAAAGAAAATTTTAAGTAACATGTCCTTTGATGTGGTCCATTTTCTTATTTAACATTTTCTCATAAAAATTTTAATTCCAAGGTTTATTTTAAACCTAAAGATTCCAGAATACTGTTGTCCTGAAAAACAGTAGTGTGTTCAAAGCCTCTGGAAACATTGCTGTTACCTGCCAGCAGAGGACTCAAGAGCAATTCGTTCTAATACACTTTAGAACAAATAAATAGGGAAATAGGGTCTAAAACAGTAGCAAATTTTAGCTTGAATAATGGAAGACATGGAACGTTTATAAACAAACATGGGACATATTGTGAGAATAGCAAAAATAAGAAGGTGGGGAAGTGTATTTCGCTGTATCTGTGCCACAACATTCTTCCTCATGACCAAAGCATGGGTAGCCCACAAGGGCAGCGGCAGATCTCCTCCCCAGGCCATGGCCGATGGCCGATGGGGCTGGTCGGCCTCATCAGCCATGTTTAGTACGTCATCTTTAGTAGGCGCGTCTGACGCTACCCAAGACTCATTTGCTCCAGTCATCTGCAGGCGACAAATAGGGCAATTCCTGTGTCCGTCTCTCCATTTATCTATACACTTCTGACAAAAGCTGTGAGCACAAGGCAGGATGAGGTCAGCCCGCCCATCCATGCAGATATAACACACCTCCTCATCGGTCAGCTGTTTCGCCCTTCCCATCCAAAGACTGGGCCTGACAAGGTGTGACAGAGCATGCGTTTTCCTCAGGTTCTTCAGAAGTGGTGCTTTGCGCCAAAGCACCTGCTGCATGACTTGTGATGCCTTTATAAAGCTGAAGGAACTGGTACAAATTCATGATGCGTGATGCTTCCACAATGCCACTCCTCTTGTTAATCTTGGTACACACTACCCGTCAACCACTTTCCAAAAGGCAGAGGAATCAGATCCAGGTTGTACCTCAAAGAGAAGATGTTTCTCCTGGCCAGAAGCCACTTTAGCAGTTACACCAAGTTCAGCTACTCTCTCAAGAAATTCTTTATATGTTAAGGAGCCACTTTCTCGAACCAATGTGACGTGTTTTGCTACTTTTTCTGGTAACTTGCTAATAACCAGTTGGGTCTGATCTGAAATTTGCTGTCCCATGATGAAATGACGTCATTCAGATCCAGAAAGTATTGTTTCACATAGTTTTTCTAGTTCAAGGCATTGCGCTCCCGGTGGCACCAGCTGCTCAGAGCAGCAGGTGCCGGCCTTAAAGATTTATTTATTTATTTAAAAGGCAGAGTCACAGAAAGGCAGAGGCAGAGAGTGAGAGGTCCTCCATCCGCTGGTTCAATCCCCAGATGGCTGCAACGGCTGGAGCTTCACTGATCCAAAACCAGGAGCCAAGAGCTTCTTCTGGGTCTCCCACACAGATGCAGGGGCCCAAGGACCTGGCCACCCTCTACTGCTTTCCTAGGCCATAGCAGAGAGCTGGATCAGAAGTGGAACAGCAGAGACTCTGAACCAGTGCCCACACAGGACGCTGGCACTGCAGGCAGCAGCTTTACCCGCTATGCCACAGCGCTGGCCCCTGGTGCATGGATTTTAATGTTTTTCCAACAACTGTGGAGATCTGAGGGAATGTGTGAGAATGTAAAATACTTAGTTTACTTGGTAGTCTCTTGTGCAAATTACAATAAAACAAAGTAAATGAAATTTAAACAAAAAATAAATTTGGTCACAAAATGCCAAAAAAAAAAAAGAGTTATAGGCTTAACTGAGTTGTTTATTAGCAAGCAAGAAGTGCTGCTGAGAACTTTCTATGGTATCATTACTATTTGGCTTCTCAAAAAGTTCATGGAAAATGGAATTAAAAGTTATTTTTCTATGGGGTCAGCCTTGTGGTATAGTGAGTAAAAGTAGTCACCTGCAGTGCTGGCATCCCATATGGGTGCTGGTTAATGTCTTGGTTGCTCCTGTTCCAATCCAGATCCCAGTTAACAGCTTGGGAAAGCAGCAGAGGATGGCCCAAGTGCTTGCACCCACATGGGAAACCCGGATGAGGTGCCTGGCTCCTGGGTTTAGCCTGGCCCTGCCTTAGCCATTGTGGATACCTGGAGAGCGAACCAGTGGATGGAAGTTTCTCTTTCTCTCATCTCCCTCTCTCTTTCAAGTAAATAAATAAATCTTCCAAAAAAGGTTATTTATTCTAGTACAAGAAAATTTTGAAATCTACCCTTCCACCCCCTTTTTCTCTTCATTTATTTGAAAGGCACAGTTACAGAGAGAGGTCTTCTATCCACTAGTTCACTCCCAAATGGTCACAACTCCAGTGCTGGGCCAGGCATAAGTGAGAAGTCAGGAGCTTCATCCGGGTCTCCCACGTGGGTGCCGAGACCCAAGCACTTGAGCCGTCTTCTGCTGTTTTCCCAAGCGTCAGCAGGGAGCTGGATCTAAAGTGGAGCAGCCGGGACTCGAACCAGCATCCTTGTTGCAGGCAGGTTTTATCTGCTCCGCCATAACGCCAGCCCCGTTTTTTTTTTTTTTTTCTTCATAACACTTATTTTCCATTAACGTTTTGAAGACCCTGTTTATTACTCGGCGCTTATTTAACTGCTTGAAACGGGTTAATGATTTCTGCTTTCAATTTATAGTGTTGAGGACTTTTTGAAATAATGGACGTGAAAGCACTTTGAAAAGAACGTTATTAGTGAAAAAGAGAAAAAGCCCATGATAAATACTGTTTGGAGGCTCTCGTTCGTTCCTCGTGCCTTTCTGGAGCACGTTTCGCAACGCAGGGCTTCCGGTGCTGCCCAGCCCGGCCAGTGTGGCGTGGAGCAGGGAGCAGGTGCACAGAGGCCAGGAGCGGCCCACCTGCGACCCGCCCCTGGGCCCCGCTGTGCAGCGCGCGCTGGCCGCGGTCTGCGGAACCTGTGCCGGGCCGAAGCGGCGCAAGCCCGCCGACCCCAGGGCGCGAGTCCGCTCCGGCGCCGGCCGCTGCTCCGCCTCGGCTGCCCACAACCCACGGTCCTTTCCGCCGTCCCAGCGACCTCCCCTCGCCTCTCTCCCGCTCCTTCCAGCGCCCTCCAGTCCCCGGCGCCCGGCAGCGTCTAGAAGGCATCTGAGGATGGCGGCAGGACCGCGGAGCTGACGACGATGCGGCCGACTGTACGTTTTTGCCTTTATTTGGCTCTGAGTCTGGAGCCCCCGTGGCGCTTCCCCTCCGCGGCAGACACAGGGGGTGAGCCCGCCGGGCCTGGCTGCGGTCCGCGTTCCGGAACGCGGGCGCCGGGCGCGGCAGTTTCCAGGGGCGATGGGGACGCGCCTCGCGCAGGCCGCGGAAGCGGAAAGCGTGCGAGCGTTTGGCCTGGACATCCTGACGGCCCCGAGAGCCGCGCCGGCCGGGGGTCCCTAGGAGGACTGGCCCGGCTCGGCCCGGCTTGCCCCTCGGGAACATTAGCCGAGCGGCCGGAAAGCAAGGTACGCGAGTCCGCTGTGCGCCTGTCGTAACATTTCAGCTTCCCATGGTGAATTTGCTGCTAGCACTGCAAAATGGAAGCTCTCTTTTCTTTTGGGGTTGCAAAGTAACGCACAGCGTCCTGGAAATGAGTTGGTTGTTTGCTGGAAAACTCTGTTACTTTTAAAGCCCCTGGATTAAATTCTAAGGGCCTCACTCCCTGGTTGACTCCTGTAGACTGAAAAATGATCTGTGTTATCGTTTAAAAAGGCCAATTAGGATGGAAAATGTGATGTGTGTATAGCCCTTGATAAGACTGGTAATAATACTTAAGATAGTGAACAAGTAAGAAAACTTAAGGTCAGTGCAAAGGAAGTAGTAATTTTTTATGTCATTTTTGAGGGGGAAGGTTAAATATTTAATGATAGCTTTGAAGTTTAAAATCATTCAGTGGGTAGAATATTTTGCTCACTTGTGGACTGCAGCTGTTATTCTCACGTGTTGGACAGCACAGGACCATGCTTTATATAGAAGGCTACTTCAGCAACTTTGTAGAAAATGAAAGTTTATTTTGGTGCAAAAATAATTGAAATCCATGTACGTAAAGAGTATTCAAAACGTTTGTGGAAAATGCGTATGATTGAAAAGGCATGGATTAAAAATTTTTTACACCAAATATCTTTTAATTCTGTTTCTATGAACTTTCTGAAAGTACTTTCATATAACTATTTTGTAATGTAAAAGATATTCTTGAGCAATAATGTTATTTTTCCTTAGCTTCTTAGCTTCTCTGAAGGTCGGTCAGGGGACACTGTTCAGGGCTTTACTGGGTGAAAGGTCATTCTGCCTCACAATACATTTTTTGTTTTATTGCAGATCAACATGCTCTGATTTGGGGGAGTAGAAGCCAACTTAAATCCTTCATACCAGTTTCATCCCTCCAGTGGCATTCTTTAAAAGGTGAGAGGACTCCATGATTCTCCTGCAAGCCAAGGCTCCCAAAACTTGAAAACAGCGTGGCTCAGTGGGTTATTGGCAGCATCTCATGTGAGTGCTGCTCCGCTTCGGATCCAGCTCCCTGCTAATATGCCTGGGAATGCACCCATGTGGGAGACCCAGATGGAGTTCCAGGCTTTTGCGGCCATTTGGGGTGTGAACCAGCATGAGGATGGAGAAAAAGTCTCTACCTCTGTAACTCTGTCTTTCATATAAATAAATCTTAAAATTCAGATTAGTGGATTTAGATCCCAAAAGGAAGTCGCTGCTATAGGACACTGTTAGCTGTTCAGGATGTGTGTGTGTGAGTGTGTGTGTCTTTTTTCTTTTGAGTGACTTGCCTGAGATTACAGAGCTGGGAAGTAGTGGAGCCAGGATAGGCTTCCCAGGTGCCTGGATCCCAGGGTCTAGGAGAGAACCCAGGCACTGCCTTGCTTCCTTTGAATTTCTTTTGAAAGAAAGCTGACTCCTTCCAAGAGGCTTCAGGGGAGCCTCACTACTTGCCTCTAACCAGCCAGTGGCCCGAGCTTTTCCTTTGTAGGTTATATTCGTGGATGAGTAAGTGAATGTGCTCTGTGCACCTGTTTGCCAATCTTTGTAAACTTCCATATGGCTCTTTTATCAAAGGTCAACAGGAGACACTGATGTATTTTTTCTTCCTGTTCCAATGACTGAGGTTTTTTTTTTTTTTCCTAAGTAGTTACCCCTTTGGTCTTTCCTTCCTTCTTTCCTTCCTTCCTCCCTTCCTCCCTCCCCCTCCCCTTCCTTTCCTCCCTCCTTTCCTTCTCCTTCCTTTCCATTTAATTATTTATTTGAAAGGCAAAGTTACAGAGAGAGAGGAGAGACAGAGAGAGATCACTCCCCAAATGGCTGCAACAGCCGGAGCTGGGCTGATCCACAGCCAGAAGTCAGGAACTTCTTCTGGGTCTCCCATGTGGGTGCAGGGGCCCAAGCACTTGGGCCAAGTTCTGCTGCTCTACCAGGCTACTAGCAGGGAGCTGAATCTGAAGTGAAGCAGCTGGGAATTGGACCAGTGCTGCAAGTGGTGGCTTAACCCACTAAGCCACAATGCTGACCCCTAACTAAGGATTCTTAAACACAGGTAGGTATTATTAGAAGAAAAGAGTGAGAATATGTATGTTTGTAATCCTAAAATGTTTGACAGAACCAGGCTCATTCTGAAATATTAAGACAATAGACATTTTATTTTTTTAAGATTATTTGAGGGGCCAGCGCTGTGGCGTAGTGAGTAAAACTGCTACCTGCAGTGCCAGCATCCTATGTGGACACTGGTTTGAGTCTTGGCTGCTCCACTTCTGATCCAGCTCTCTGCTATGGCCTGGGAAAGCTATAGAAGATGGCCCAGGTCTTGGGCCCCTGAACCCACGTGGGAGACCCGGAGGAAGCGCCTGGCTCTTGGCTTCGGCCTGGCCCAGACCTGGTTATTGCAACCATCTGGGGAGTGACCAGCAGATGGAAGATCTCTGTTTCTGCCTCTCTCTGTAACTCTGCCTTTCAAATAAATAAAAATAAATTAAAAAGGTTATTTATTTGAAAGGTGGAGTTACTAGAAAGAGCGAGAGAGAGAGAGATCTTCCATCCACTGGTTCACTCCCCTGATGGCCACAAGATCCTGGGCTAGGCCAGGCCAAAGCCAGGAACTTGGAGCACCATCCAGGTCCTTCATGTGGATGGCAGGGTCCAAGCACTTGGGCCATCTGCTGCTGCTTTCCCAGGCACATCAGCGGGGAGCTAGATTGGAAGTGGAGCAGCCAGCACTTGAACCAGCACTCACATGGGATGCCATTATTGCAGGTAGCAATTTAACCCACAACACCAGCCCCAACAGACACTTATTGAGCATCTACTGTATACAGGTCCCTTGGTGGGCACAGGGGATATAAATAGGCAAGTTCCTGTCTTAAGTGGGCTGATAGCTTGGAGTGAGGAAAAGTACATTTTATATCCTGACCACTACACCCAGATATATGCATGTATATGGAAGTAGAAATAAAAGTTTCATCAGAGTAACTTTGTACACCTTCCCTTGTACAGTATGGGCTAATATTTTCTATTGTGGTTTATTCTATTTGATTTTTAAAAATTCTGGTCACAAACCACCAAACTTATTTCATAACCCAATACTCTCTTCTAGCTTTTTTTTAAGATTTAAGATTTAAAAAAATATTATAGACACAGTGACAGTGAGAGGGAAAGACAGACAGAAAGAGATTTTCCATCTGCTGGTTCACTCCCCAAATGGCTGCAATGGCCAGGAGCCAGGAACAGCATCTGGGTCTCCCGCGTGGGAAGCAGGGGCCCAAGTACTTCTGCTACCTTCCCAAGCGTATTAGCAGGGAGCTGGATAGGAAGAGGAGTAACCAGGACTCAAACTTGTGCCCCCAGATGGGATGCCAGTCACTTAATCTGCTGTGCCACAACACCAGCCCCTTCTCTAGCTTTTTCTGAAAAATTCTGGGATAATAGATGTTAATAAACTGGTGCTTTTTTTTACGTTTTTTGGTGAGAGTCATTTTGGTTTTAGGAATAAGAATATGGTAGAAATCAAAATACCACAGTTTAGCACTTCAGTTCTTGAAAGAGCCTTTGAGGGTCTTTAGTGCGTCATCTGGCTTCCTTCCTCACACACATGTCCAGAGGTTGTATGTCTACCTCTTTATCTTTGTGCCCCTGAACTGAATGGGGTAATTCGTGAAAATAGAATTAAGAGCTAAGTGTATTTGAAATCCTGTATAAAGGGCCTTCACAAAGTCAACGAAAAATGTATACTGTGAAAAAATTAATGAGTTTCAAATTTTTTGTACCAAAATAAACTTAGTTTTTAATTCCATTTTCTACAGACATTCATTTATTTATATTTATTTGAAAGGCAGAGGGACACACAGAGGTTGAAGCTGGAAGCCCAGAACTTCATCCTGGTCTTCCACATGGATAGCAGGGGCTCAGACGTTTGCACAGTCTTCTGCTGCTTCCCAGGAAGCAGGATCAGAAGCAGAGGTCGGACTTGAACCCAGGCACTCAGATATGGGATGTGAGCTTCTAAGTGGCAACTTAGCTCACTGCACCACAATGCCTGCCCCTCTATGGACATTTAAAAAAGAATTTTTATTTAATTTTAAAGAGGCAGAGAGCTAGGCCAACAATTTTAACCCACCACAGCCTGAATAAGTGAATGCTATGCCCCCCTCCAAGTCTGGCCCTTACAGGTGAAAAGAGAGAACACGTCTCTTCTTTCTAAGACTAAGTAAATAGGGGCTGGGCCTTGACCAGGCAGTGTGAGGTGCCTCACCCAGGCCCAGTGCTTCCATTGCTTCCCACTTAGTAAGTACAAGGGATAAGTGAGTTTCTCCATCCTGTGTCACTGGACTGTAAACCTAAGAAACAGCAGGTTTGGATACAGACCAGGTTCTGTGTTGTGTCTTTCCTGTGATCAAATGATGAATACTTCTGTCCATGTTAGCAGCTTTCCTTTGCATTAACATATTTGAGTTTAAAAATTAAAATTACTTAAACTGTTTTCATTTCTCAAGTTTGATTTGTGATTTTTTTCCCTTTTTTTAAAAACTTTTATTTAATGAATATAAATTTCCAAAGTACAGCTTATGGATTACAGTGGCTTCCCCCCCATAACGTCCCTCCCACCCGCCACCCTCCCCTTTCCCACTCCCTCTCCCCTTCCATTCACATCAAGATTCATTTTTCAATTCTTTCTCTGTATAGATCAGTTTAGCATATATTAAATAAAGGTTTCAACAGTTTGCACCCACATAGAAACACAAAGTGAAAAATACTGTTTGAGTACTAGTTGTAGCATTAAATCACAATGTACAGCACACTAAGCACAGAGATCCTACATGAGGAGTAAGTGCACAGTGACTCCTGTTGTTTACTTAACAAATTGACACTCTTGTTTATGGCATCAATAATCACCCTCGGCTCTTGTCATGAGCTGCCAAGGCTATGGAAGCCTTTTGAGTTCACCGACTCTGATCATATTTAAACAAGGTCGTAGTCAAAGTGGAAGTTCTCTCCTCCCTTCAGAAAAAGGTACCTCCTTCTTTGCTGACCCGTTCTTTCCACTGGGATCTCACTCACAGAGATCTTTCATTTAGGTCATTTTCTTTTGCCAGTGTCTTGGCTTTCCATGTGTGAAATACTCTCATGGGCTTTTCAGCCGGATCCACATGCCTTTAGGGCTGATTCTGAGGCCAGAGTGCTGTTTAGGACATCTGCCAATCTGAGTCTGCTGTGTATCTCGCTTCCCATGTTGGATTGTTCTCTCCCTTTTTTATTCTATCAGTTAGTATTTGCAGACACTAGTCTTGTTTGTGTGATCCCCTTGACTCTTAGACCTATTAGTGTGATCAATTGTGAACAGAAATTGATCACTTGGACTTGTGAGATGGCATTGATACATGCCACCTTGATGGGATTGAATTGGAATCCCCTGGTGTGTTTCTAACTCTACTGTTTGGAGCAAGTCAGCTTGAGCATGTCCCAAATTGTACATCTCTTCCCTTTCTTATTCCCACTCTTATATTTAACAGTGATCACTTTTCAGTTAAGTTTCAACACTTAAGAATAACTGTGTATTGATTACAGTATTCAACCAAAAGTATTAAGTAGAACAAACAAACAAAAAATACTAAGAGGGATAACAATTTAAGTTGTTCATCAACAATCAGGGCAAGGGCTGATCAAGTCACCGTTTCTCATAGTGCTCATTTCACTTTAACAGGTTTCCTTTTTGGTGCTCAGTTAGTTGTCACCGATCAGGGAGAACATATGATATTTGTCCCTTTGGGACTGGCTTATTTCACTCAGCATAATGTTTTCCAGATTCCTCCATCTTGTTGCAAATAACCAGGTTTCATTGTTTTTGACTTCTGTATAGTATTTTATAGAGTACATGTCCCATAATTTCTTTATCCAGTCTACTGTTG